CTCCAGCCCCTCCATGTCTTTCTTGTCATCAATGACCCCAACTGACCCCAAGATTTGAGGTGGGGCCTCACCAGTGCCCAGCACAGTTCCCAAAGTTTCACCCATCCCTAATTTTTTTGCTCCATCGGGCCCACATCACATTCCCATCCTCCTCCAAGTCAGATTCCACAGGAGCCCAGACTGGTTTTTGGGAAGCCTCTTTTAGACCAGACTAAACCCAGTCCAGTGGAGTCCCACAAGGCCGGGTTTAAGGGGCTCTGTTCCCACCACGTGCTCTGGAACATCACCGAGGTTATTGATTCCCTGCAGATCAATACCAGCCTGTTTGATCAAAACTCCTCCCGTTCTCAGAACTCCATAAAAAATAATCCTGAAAAGTTGTGCTTTCCTTCAGACAGTGCCAATAGCAGAGGAAGAAACTCTGGGGAAAAAAAAATCCCTAAATATTGGGAGCTGGTGAATCCCAGTTTATGTTCACATCAGAGCTTGCTGGTATTTCCAGAACATCCCTGTGAGACTGGAAATGAACCTCACCCTCATTTCCAGGAAATTTTCTGAACTAAATCCCAAATCTCAGTGATCCAAACCCCAAATCTCAATGATTTAAATCCTAAATCTCCCAGTGATTCAAACCCTAAATCCCCATGTGATCTCAACCCTAAATCTCTCTGTGATCCAAACCCTAAATCTCCCAGTGATCCAAACCCTGAATCTCTCAGTGATTCAAATCCTAAATCTCCCAGAGATCCAAACCCTAAACCTCCCAGAGATCCAAACCCTGTATCTCAAAGATCTAAACCCTAAATCTCAAAGATCCAAAACCTAAATCTCCCAGTGATCCAAACCCTAAATCTCAATTATTCAAACTCTAAACCCCCCAGAGATCTAAACCCCAAATCTCTCAGTGATCCAAACCCCAAATCTCAATGATTTAAATCTTAAATCTCCCACTGATCTGTACCCTAAATCTCAAAGATTCAAACCCTAAATATCCCTGTGATCCAAACCCTAAATCTCCCTGTGATCTGAACCCTAAATCTCAATTATTCAAACTTTAAAGCTCCCAGAGATCCAAATCCTGTATCTCAAAGATCCAAACCTTATATCTCCCAATGATCCAAACCCTAAATCTCAATTATTCAAACTCTAAACCTCCCAGTGATCCAAAACCTAAACCTCCCAGAGATCCAAACTCTGTATCTCAAAGATCCAAACCCCAAATCTCCCAGTGATCTGAACCCTAAATCTC